AAAATGGATGTATAATATAAAATAAAATTATACATTATTTATAATGATGTATTAAAAAAGTATATTTACAGTGAAGATGCAGAAAGGTCCCCCCTTGTGTACCTGCCACTGTGAGCCTCAGGAATTTGTGCTTTCGAGCGTGCCGCGTCACGCCGTGCAAAGGGCTCTGCTCTCTGGGGCAAGCCTGCTGCAAGGCCGGGCTGCAAGAGCCCCTTCTGCCCCCCGGCTTTCCCGTGCGGCCCCTCGGGGTAGGAGTGCGGCCACAGGAACGCACTCTGGGGGTGCGGTGCTGGCCCTGGGAAGGCCTGGGCGGCTGCGATGGTGGGACTGCACCATCGAGTGCCGTCTCCGGCGAACTCCCCGCTTGCCGGTCAGCTGAACGGAGGCTCAGCCGGTTTCTCACGAGTCGACACGGATTGCACCTCAAATGCATGCAGAACCATACTTCCTGACCCAGAAACACCCCCAAAGCTGGAGAAATTCACGTGACAAAGGCAGCAACTTCTTCTAGCCAATGTCTTCCCCGTTGAGTGAGCTTCCATCCAGCTTGGAGAACTGCCACAGAGGAAAAAGCACTGACTTGCATTGGCGATAGTGATGTGTGTGCACAAAATGCACATGTGATGTGATGAGCTGCCTTGGTGGGATCTGAGGGGAAAACGCAGATTCAGCTCTGGATCGCTAGCTGTGTGCAGCGCCAGTCTGAATCCCGCCAGGGAACGGCAAGGCAACAGCAGCAGCAGTAGGGCCCAGACCCGCAGCGCTGCTCACTCGGCCCCTGCCCAGGTGCCGCCCCAAGGCACAGCTCCTGCGAAGGCCTGATGCGTGCTGGGAGCAGCGCCTTTCGGCTGCACAAAGAGCCGCGTCTGCACCTGGGCACCGAGGCCAGAAAGAGTTCAGGCCTGCTGCCTCTGCAGCCTGCAAAAGTAGCGGTTTGGGAGTTTCTGATAAGCCTGAAAGTCTTCAGACCTAACTGCAGCGAGCCACAGGAAATGTGCAGACCAGACTTCCAGGCTGGAAGGCAGCAACATGCCAGCTTATGCCAAAAAGCTTTCGGAAGCGGATCCACCAGCAGCCAGGCTGCTGAGGCTCTCCTGCTTCCTCACGTGACGGAGGGGACACCCACAGCGTGAAGGCAATGGAGCAGAGCAAGCGCTGGAATCATTAGCCTTAGCCAGGGTTAAGTGGCAATACCTTCCAAGAGGTCCTCCAGTGTGGCGAGGGGACACCTGCAGTGTGATGCAGGAGGAAGGATGAGCACCCTCACTCTCAGCCAGGCAACTATTTCTGTCATAATTATGTGGGTTAGTATCTTTATGAGTTAATAAGCTCGTGAATTGTTGAAGCAATAAATTAGAGAATTGAGCATTTAGACTAGTTTGTCGAAAGGGGATTGAGACCTTGTTTGATTTTTACCTAATGAGCTCGTGAAATAAAGCTTGATTCACAGCATACATTGCTCTGTGAATTTGAGACCCAAATGAACCATGGCAATCCACAAAATAATTCACTACTGAAACTGGAATTACACAATACGGTAATAATAAAATGGAAAATGCTTTAACCATGTGATTGAGAGATTAAGGAACAGGATTGAAGGCAACAGGGATTTATCAGGAAGCTCCCCTAGAAGGCGTAGGGGCTGCTTCAAAACCAGGCGTGACACAGTCAGCAGATTGGAGATAGGCTGTGGATCTGTGCTGAGGCACACTGGCGTGGTGGGGTACGTCCTCCGCACTCTACAGAGCAGTACAGCCAGGGTACATCTGTGCTTACTTGCCTTCTGTGGCTCTGCTTCTCTGTCCTCTGAGTAGACTTGCTAAGGTTCCAGGAAAGCTTTGGCTTTGGCCAAGGCCACAGACACAGACTGGAGATGAGGAAGTCCTGCTGGCAGCTCCCCTGGCACAGGGGCTCAAACACTGGCACTGCAGGGAGTGCCAACAGTTATGGACAGCTGCTCGAAGACCATGCTGTCTTGGGATGGCAGTGAGGCAATGAGGCAGAGGAAGCGTGTTACATGGTTTTGGCTAAATTTCATTAAAATATGTCCTTTTTAATGGCAGGCTTGATAGAAGCCCATGTTTAAGGATAGTCAGTTTCTCTTACTTCTAGAGATGATCCTGGATCACTTGCAAATGTCTGTTAACAAGGCATGCTGCAAAAGACTTCCTGCTTCTTTCTACATTTTGTTCTGGTTTCGGTATGAGTGCGATTTCACTATCCAGTGGCAACAACAGGCATTTTTACAAACAAAAACCAATGAACAAACCAAGAGCCATAGGAGTGGAAATGTACTGGCTCCGGTAGGACAACAGGTGAGCTTTTGAAACAGCCAGCCTTTATCACCGCTGGCAGTATATGACTTGGATTTCATTACAAAGGTATGCTGCTGTAACCAACAGTGTAATATTTATAGTGGTGAAGTAGTAAAATGAAATGGAATTTGTTTTCTTTAAGTAGCTTAAATACTCCTAATCATTCATAGCTATGAAGTATCTTGCCACATGGAAACATGTGTCGACTTCTAGGAAGCAATAAATAGAGTCAATGACAGAGCTCCAGAATGAATTCTCCCTTAGTCATGTTTACTTTTTAAGATTAAAAGGTGTGAAAATACAATCAAGGAAAAATACTTTAACTCGGTTAAGAGTGAATCAGTTTGGTTCTCAGTCGCTTGGGCCGAAGATAACTAAAGAACTATGTGACTCTCCAAAAAGGGAAAGTACCTAACAAAGGTAATCCTGCTGTTAAGCAGACTGGGAGAAACCATTGCAAGGGATTGTGATGCCACCGGGCACCATGGGCACCTGCTCTTGTCTAACCAGATTTCCTGTAATTAATGTAAAAGATTTTGCAATGTCAAAGAAGTTACTTAAAGCAAACAGAAAGTAATCTTTTTTTTTTCCTTTTTCTTGAGACTGACTACCTTTTGTGACTGAAGCTATTATTTCATGGGAATTGGAGCTGAAGGTCCAGAAAGCAGATGTTCTACACATCAAGATAGCAACTTAGGGCCCTGCAGTGTAAATAGGTGCACAGTTTAAACTATTCAATGTTTGTAAAAATAGTACCTTCTAATGAATTCTCCCCCTGCAGAAGCAGAATGACTATCAGACCAGTGACCTAGACCATACTTGATACAAAGCTGATGAACAATATTGACTGATTGCAGAGAACCGTAAACTTCACTTTCAGAAGTGATAATCATCTGTTCTATCAAGCAGACAGATTCGTAGGTGTTTGGTACTTCTGAAGTCGAGGCAGAGGTGTCTTGTCAAGTGACATGCCCGGGAAATTAACTTTGAAGTTACTCTTTCAGAAATACACTGGGGCTGAAGGTCCAGCCCACAACCTTGAATGACGGCAGATTTTTACTGATTCTTCAGTAGTTCTTGCAAAGCTGTCCTCTACCATTTGGTAGAAAATTCACAACTTCAGCAGGTGAGCAGGCTGAATGAGTAATGTGCAACTCGGTCACAAATTCCCGAGTCAAAAGTTGAAAGAAAAATCCTAAAGTTATCTCTAACTGCAATAATAATTCAGATGGGATTTATCAAAGAAGCGTGAACAAAACTATAGCTGTGCTGTAATTACCCAAATTCTTGATGCAGCTGTTAATAACCACAATATACTGTTCCTAATTCGCTGTGGAGGAACAAAACTGCTCAAGCAGTGAGAGGCAATGACTTAAACATCACTACGGAGCATCAGGCAATGAAGGGCATTTAAAATAAACCATTATCATAGCTGAACACATATAAAAATAATCTCTTTATTGCAATTTTTTTGTTCTCTTTACCTGACAGTGTTATTTCTTAGGAATAAATATTAACAAGTGAAAGTATCTCTGCTGAGCCTGCAATTTCACATTTCTTGCAGCAGCAGCGCTGCCATAACCAACTTCTTCCCCAGCTGCTTGTGCCCTGCCCTGCACTGCCCCTTCCTTCTGGGCAGTACGCCGGCTCGCGGGGCCACACTGCCCACCAGATGGGGACCTGCCCCAGGGGGAGTCACCACTTCCCACCCTCTTCACCCTGGATGTTGCCAGGAGCAACACTGGCTTCAGTAAGCCTCCTCCCTGCTCATTTCTGCCCTTGCACAACCCGCGAGTCGTCTGAAACACTCTGCAGAGCTAAAATAGGGAACAGATTTGACAGAAAAACAGCATTTTTTAAGACTGGTTGCTTTTCAGTAGAATCAGTTCACTTGAGCCCATTCAGCATGTAACTGAGCAAACATCGTGTTCTCCAAACACTGGAGAGGGAGAGGTGAGAGCAGGAGTAAGGTAAGGACCAGGGGGCTGCCAAATGTCTCACAAAACATGGTGTGGCCATGGGTACCCTTCTGCTACAGGGGAGTTGAGCTAAACTGTTGTTCTCCGCACCGGAGCAGAGCTGGAGCTCTGAAAAAGAGCATGTGACTGAGCGGTCACTAACCACTGAGGTGGCAGCACCTTTAGCAGCTGTCGTCATTTTGGAAATGAAGTTGTGACTATCCCCTAAACAACCGCTACCTCAAAAGCTGACCTTACCCTGAATTAAGAAAGATTTATTCTTTTGTTTTCCTACTCTGAGAGCATGTCAGACCAAGTGAGATGAAATAAAAAACACATTTAAAGAAATTATATTGGCAGATGAAGATCCTAAAAAAGTTTTAAAATCAGGAACGCTAAACTAATTCTGTAAGATGTTACTTTTTTTACCTCGAAACACCTCTATACTCTGAAGTAAAATCAATTGACTTTAAATCTATTACTCTAATACAAGAGAGATAATAAACCCAACACCACTTACAATAAACTTTACAATAATTCTCACATTATAATAAACTGGAAAAAATGCATACGTAGTGACTTTTTGTGCTATTTGTTCATCTGTACGACGGAGGTTTTAGTCTGATAAACAGAATACATCACTTGGCTTTTAAACCAATTCAGTAAGAGCTCTTTCAGGAAGATTGAAAACCAACAACCTTTCACCTTCAACTCAGTAAATCATATCCCGTTTAATTCAGTTTTTATTCAATGAAATGATGTATAAAAACTTACAAATCTGAGAACTTAACTATACACAAAAAGATGATATTCAGTTTAAACGTATACACAGAGAAGAGCTGTGGTTTGTGACTTGCCCTCTCCCGCCCCTCCCCCCAAAACACACACTGTCTCCATTTACGATGGGGCACTTATTCTGGCTGCTCGCGCCTTCGGTCGGCCCAGGAATTGCTTGGTGGGCTTTGCTGCTGCTGTCAGTGTAAGTTTTTAGGCTACCAGCAAAAAATCTGGGCATCTATATAAAACAGTAAGAATCAACAACTTGATTTTTAACACAAAGATGCAGTGCTACCATCAGCAGTAACTAAACCTACAGAATTCATCCTTTCAGTTTTTGCAGACTGTCTTGGCTTGGAAAATAACGGGACTCTCACAGAGCAGCATTTGTCAGTCAGCACTACAGGTTCGCTTTAAAACCACCATGATCCCCTGTTGCTACGACATCTCTGCACCACCTTTTCTTCGTTTTAACTCATGCCATTAGACCAAATGAAAACATGGACATTCCTTGCCTGAGTAAGGCAATAAAGCTTTTCTCTCTCCTTTCATCCAGAATGACTCAAACCTATAGCTAACAACACATGCGTGTGCTGCACTAACGATGGTGCAGTGCTCACCAGTATGTCACTTCTCTAGTTTCCTTTGTAGCTTGGGTGACAACACTTACCTATTAGCTTCTCTTCAACAGGCCAATAAAAATGCACACAGCTCAGGACGTTTTAAATTTGATTAAAAATAACCTGTGCAATGACTAGTTCTGTCAAAAAACTAAAAGACTTTCTGGGCTGAATCTGAGAGTAGACGGCCAGTTACTTAAAAAGGATGTGTGCATTTATTTACCTGTCCCAAATATACACACAAACACTTTCTATATATATATATATATATAAAAACCTTTATACATATACAGTATTTTATATATATATATAAAGATTGCCATCACATTATTATTACAGCTACTTATGTCAAAATTTGACTAAGTAACTACTTTCCTTGACTCGATGCTATCTGAAACAGATACCCAAAGGCATACGTAAAGGGAAACGTAAGGCTAAAAGAAACCCAACACCCTCAGCTCTGTTTAAGTCAACGAACAGAGATTTTTGCATTCAATGAGAAAAGTTCTGAGGGTTTTAAGTTATAGCCTTAATCAGCTTGCATGTGGACTTCTAAAAAGCATGCTGTTTAATTTGCCAGATCTTCTTGAAATGCCTTTTACCAGGGAAACTAATACATTTTTTTTTTCTTTGCTTACCAAAAGGATACTCTGTTTCTCATTACACTCATCATTGTATCTAAATACACTTTTAAGCAATCTAAATTTTGTTTAAAATCTATTAAATTTGGATTAACTAATACTATCAACATAGTTAGCTGGATTATTTTTTCACACGTTCCTTTGTATTAAAATCAATTATGTTGTGGTTTGATGCAAGAGCTCTTTGTTTGTTTTGGTGGGAGAGGCAAAGTCCAATTTCCTAATGTGCCAGTACAGTTCTGGTTGCTGAAGACAAAGGGTGGGAAGGAGGCTGGTGGAAAAGATGGCAGGGGTAAGTGAGGTAAGAGGTGGGGGGAGGAAAAAATCGATTTAATAAAAAATGAGTAAAGAAACTTTAAAAAATTGATACAGGTTTCACATTCAGTCTAACAACACTGCTTCCTGCTCCTTTTTGATGGAGGCTAAGACTGCGTTATCAGTCTCTGTGGCTTCTGTGTCCCCACCACCTAGCAGAATGGAGCGATCTTCTTCTAGTGTAAAGACAGAGTTCTGATTTTGGCACGAATGTTTGACTACTTCATTGGGAGTTGAAAACGTTTTGTCACACAAGTTACATTTGTAGGGCTTGTTGGTCTGTACTAGCATGTTGTCCATTTGACTGCCTTCCTCAAAGGTACAGAGTTCCAGAGTCTGTTTGTCCACCATCGTGTACGTGTCCATGCTCTGGTTTAGGCACACGTGTCTGGCAGCCTGGTTAGCCCTGCAAAAGCTTTTGTCACAAGTGCTGCACTTGAAGGGCTTGCCGGTGTGTATGTACATGTGCTCCCTCCAGTGGCTCTTCTGAATAAATTTGCGACCACAGATGGAACATTCGTATTTGCGTCTTTTTACTTCCCTCTCTTGATCTGCCTGCTCCAAGTTGTCTATGTCTGCAATATCGGAGGGGGGCGGTGTCTCGGACTGCTGCTGCCCATCGATTATTGGGGAGTCCGAGATCTGCTGCAGCTCGCTGTCACTAATCATCCCTGCTTCAGGCACTTCCACGGCATCTTTATCAGCCGTGTTGTTACAGAGAGACAAAGAAATATTACTCTCTCCCTGCTGGCTAGACGTGAAGGGAACTCCCGTGTGGATCTGCAGGTGCTCACGCAAACTACTTCGCAGATTGAACCGGCGACCGCAGAGGTGGCAGGCATAGTATTTTGGGAAGCTTCCGTTCCTTTTCATAATGCTTGGCTTGACATGTGCTATTGTGAGTGAGGCAGGCTGTTCATCTGAAGAAGACGCTTCCATGTTGGCCTCTTCTCCTGCAGGTGAATTATTACCGGCAGCAGATACCAATTCTGGAGATAAAGAAGATGGCAATGGGTCAGAAGTGGACATATTTGTCCGGGTCACTTGTGGCAGAGTTGTAGCTAACTGCGAGAGCTGCGAGCCTTCGGAAACCTGCTCTTGGTTCATCCGTGATGTCTGTGGCCTTGGTTCTCGCCCGAGTTTGTCAGTCGCTGATGTGACCTTCGTGGGATGTCTTATCTGGTGATCTGCAATCTGGATGCCATATAATGAAGATGCTAATGGAAAAACTTGATCCGGGTGAGAAAAAGTTCCCTGACTTGCAAGGCTGGCCTCTTGAATTAGTGGATACGCATGCAGAAACTTTATTCCCTGTTCTAGTCGAACTGGGTCAATGAGCTGCGGTGCCATCTTCCCAGTGTACATCAAATGCAAGAGATAACTGAAGATATCCGGCTGTATGTCAGTTGCTTTCAAACGGACACATTCACTGAAAGGTGAAACAAAATGATCAGTAAGAGATAAGGAAAATCTTTTCTACCAGATCCAGGTTATTCAAGCATTGATAAAAATCAGAGGCATCTTCTGAATGTCAAAAGACAGAATATGCAATAAATATGGAAAACCGCTTTAACGTAAAAGAGCTAATCTTACTGGCCACTTCAAAGATGACATTTTTTGCCTCATGGAAGTAACTGGCTTGAAAGACAAAGCTCTTCCATTGCAATTTACACCTTTCTAAATTGCTGCTATGTTACAGATTTGTTGTCACGTATTAATATATTTTGTAAATCGCAAATATATTTCCTCCCCTTCACCATCCATTAAACTTTTCTCGTTACTTAGCCCTGAAAGCTCCTAAAATTCATCCGGCACTTGCCTGTTTGGCTTCTATGGCTTCCTAGCGTTTACAGCTACAGTTCAGCACATGTGTGGCATCACCTGGTCTCAACTACGTTAGATCCAGAAACCACGCAGGACAGGGCGCGAGTCCCCTGACAATCTGATGCAGCAGGTGTAGCCCGGGCAGATCTAACCCGTGGAGGCCAGGCTCCTTACAAAGCAGAGCGGTAGCCTCTTCCCTTGAGTAGGGAGGAAGAAACGGTAGCACCAGCGGTACCCCTGCTCAGCCTAACGGTCCCTTGGTGAGAGCACTCAACAAAGGGAGACACTTCGGCTGTGAGGCCCTCTTCAGCCTAACAGGATTGAAACCAACACCATCATCCGGCTGAGGGCATGCCCTATGCATCAACCCTTAGGATACTTTGGACTGGAACACCCACCACTCCTCTGGTTGAAGCTGGATCTCTGTGCAGAAAGAGAGGCAAGGTTCACAGAAGAAAGAAAATCAGGAACATCTCGGTTAGACCAGGTAGCTAACAGGAGAGGATCTGGGATTCTAATCATTTTTTCCAGTTATTTGTAGGTCTTGTATTAAACAAAGATTAACTAAAAGACAGAAATCCAGAAATGGACATGACTGCGTGCTGTGGTCTGAATGCTCCGACCACAGTAGGCTGCCACGCTGAGGAGGAAATTATAGCCAATTCTTCCATTTCTTGAGGTGCACCCTTGAGGTCGCTCTCTGACTGCTTTTGAATTCAGATCTATTACTCAAAAGTAAACTTTGCAATGCTGTCTTCCAAAGATGACCATGTGCTCTTGACAGAGCATCAAGACTGATACATCTGCCTGCAGCCCTGTCTCAGACGTGCAAATGCACTTCTGTCTTTGATGTTTACTTTTCACTAAGAACTCTTAGACAAAGAGTTAAGAGTTTCAATCACTTAACATAAACTTTTTGAGATAGTTCAAATGATTGCGAAAAAGAAAAGACCAAAAAAATCTTTTAAATGGTCTTACACTTTTGTTAGCTCTTCAATGCCCTCCATGTAAGGCTGCCCACAAACAAACAAACAAACAAACAAACAGAAACAAATGCAAACCCCCTTATTTTCCACCACTATGTAGTATTTTATTATTTAACTGACTTTGGTAAACTGTAAAAAAAAAGAAACATACTAGCATCTTTTATAAGTCCGTATCTCAAAATCTCCCAGCAAATACTTATTGGGTTGTATGTAATATTACGGAAATGTCAAGAATAGTGCCAAGGCAGAGTAGAGGATAGTGAATCAGGGAAGGAACGCACAACAGTGAAGACAGGATCCTTTAAATATTCAGTTCTAGGAATTCTGTGCTTTTTTAAGTATACAGAACTTGTGCTAAATTATAACATTAGCATTAATGAATCACAGTTCAACTTTAACGCATTTTAGAGTGAGATTCTAGTTTGCAGATAAGACTGGATTCCGTATTCCTTATGCCACAGCAAGAAGCAAAAAGAACATTTTCAAGTTTCAAAGTGTTGGTAAACCGCCTCAGTTTATAAAGCTAACCGGACAACATTTAAACAGGGAACCTTTTTGTAGTTACCTGGTTTGATGAACAAACAACATCTTGAAGTAGTTGGAGAAAGAAGCAAGGACTGATTTGTGTGCCTTGAAGTAGACATCACCAATGGCAACTGTGCAGTCACACAGGAAACCGAACTCTCTCTGAGCATTTAGCTGCTGCAGCAGAATAAGTCCATGGTTGGCCAAATCCATTTTTTCACACTCTGAAAAGCAAATGACTTCCATGTAAAACTTAACAGTAGCTGCAAAGATGCAACAGTAGCTGTCTCTTAACAGATATTTTCCTCTAATATCTGTATGTCATGCTTTAGTAACACCTTTTAGTCCCACGCCACTGTGTAAATGGTATCTTACACGCAGGCAAGGATCTCTGCTTCATGATGGGCAACGCGATTCATGAAGAGCAAAGCAGAGCCAGAGAGTTCTGAAAAGGCAGGGGCGGGGGGGGAACTTGGATACAGAAACATAAAGAGCTAAAGGAGGGAAAGAAATATTAATTAGCAGTAAAAACATGTATTTATAATGGAAGAACCAAGTATTTTGGCTACCGCTTGTCTGTTCAAACTGGAAAAAAAAAATCTCCCTTCTGGTATTGGCCACCCTCAGCTAAGCGGATGGGAGAGACAAGAGCAGAACCCAATGAAGGACAAGTTAGATAACATTTACGTAAAAGATATATAGAGATACTAAAAATTCAGGTTAAAAGTATGTGTCCATCTTGCCGAATCCAAACCCAACATTAAATGATTAAGCATTACTGATGGTTATGCCCTCTCCTGGGAAATACCAGATACACACCTGAGTCTTCCCAGGCTGAGACAACGAATTCATGCCAGGTATTGGCAAGCCCTCTGGACTATTGGAACAGGAGGGGCCAATCTTTTCGCTCGACAACTATTTGATTGTTTATCGAGATCAGCTACAACAGCACTTTGCAAGGAGCCTGCGTGCCGGAGCGCCTCACGCTCGCCTAGCACATCACAATACCCGAGGGGCGGGAGGTGCGGTTCCGCCCGTCGGCGCACGGCAGGGTCACCGGCGGCGAGACAGGTGGTGAGACGTGGCATAGGCCACTGCCCCCCGGCCCCAGGCCTTCTGCAGCCCCCCGGCCCTGCACTCGTGATTGCCCACTGCTGCTGGAGGCAGCCCACAAGGAACCACCCAGCAGCTGTCAGCATCCTCTTGAGGATGCAGGGGCAGCCTCGGAAGCAAGAATTGATAACTTTGGGAGAAAAACAGCCAGGGAAACAGCTTAGGGCAGTTGCATACGGTTGGATGAGTATATGGCTAGTAAGATCAACACGTGGGTATAAACGTAACCAAAACAAAGAGAGCTTTGGGCAGAACGAGTGAAAAGTATGAAGTAATGTAGGTCTGTAGGCAGCCACCTAACACAGCAAGAGAAGTCAACAAAATGCCTGGCTATGTTATGCCCGAAACGGTGCAGGTGCTCTATGAACAGCAGTGAAAGAGAAGGTGAAACCAGGAGAAGTGGATCAAAAGCGGTAAATTTGTAAAAAGTCTTGGGGTTTTTTCCCCCTCCAACTTTAATAGGAAGTTATCGAAATTTCAGGTAAGGTACAAACAGCTTGCTGCTTCTATACAGCAAGAGCGTGGCTTTTTGGGAAGGACAGTAAGTGTATTCCCCATATCCCAACACGTTTAGTCACTGGGGAAACGAGTATTTCTACTTGCTGGAGAGTGAGGAATGCCCTCGTATTTAAACCAATAACCAGGCTGACCAAACGCATTCCTTCGCATTCACATGAGATCAGAACTCGTTTGAGTCAGGAGCGTCAGGGCAAAGAAAGAAATACAATTTAAGATGCAGTTGATTGTTTTCTTACAGTTAATAACTGAAAAAAAACCCTACAAGTTCCAGCTGTCCTGAGGTCCATCCTCTCCTCCCCAAATTAGCGTTTGGATGACTGTGTTTGTACAGACAGTATGTTAAAATCCTCTCCTTCTCTCCAAAAGAGGGAATGCCTGCTGTCAGCAGCAACAAAAATCACGCTCATCGTTCTTTCATCCCGCACGATGCACCGCGCAGGTAGGCTTTGTGACGTTACAGAAAACACGCTGGATTGGGTTTTTTTGTAGCTTTAATTTAGATTATTCTGCGTGCGCGCTGCAGTTTTTTAATTCATCAAGTGCTGAGCCTGGTTTGTGCTCGGGA